GGAATGGCTTTGTAGCGCCTTCTTCAGAGGTAGCCCAACGTTGACAGCCTTACTTCTCGAGAGAGGCTCACAAAGAGATGCCTTTGAAACCTAGATGCTTCATACAAAGGAGGAATGCATCAAAAAGGAAGTCGGGAGAGGAACATCAAGGCATGTCACAAGAAGTGCTTGAATAGCATTAACGAAGCAGCCCAGAGAATCACTAAGACCGTTCCACAATGAATAGGGCAGTCAAAGAAATATAATGCCGTTAATCCGGTTTTTATAAGACTGCCACCAACTTTGCTGATTATGAAGAATTATTTGAAAATCAACAGAGCGAGCTATTTATAGTAGGAATTATGCCCTAGACATTGAAAGAATTTTATTTTTCAGACCCACAATAGCAGTTTTGAGCAACTGAAGATGTCAAGTATCCTTTGGGGAGGAGAGTTTTAAAATCTTTATACCTAGAAATGGTGGAAAGAGTTCTCTTTCAGTTCAGAACCTTTCACAAGGTTGTGGATGAGCTGTTGAGCACCTTATATTATTGCCATCTTTGGAACAGATGATGATGGTTATGGTGATGATGATGATGAAGTTTCTGGGGGAGTCTAGGACGGGCAATTATGGCCCACCAGATATTATTGGACTGTGTGATTCCTGAAAACTCAATCCAATACAGCTCATGATTGAGAGACAGAAGTGTATAACTGCCTCCCAACCTGATCTACATCCAGATATTTCTCGCACAGATCACAACCAATTCACCCTGAGCTATTTGGAAGGTGGGCTGAACTATATCTGTTCTTGGGCTTGGGTGTTTTGTGTGTTTCCTGGTCAATGTTTAAAAAGGAAACAGCAAGTCGAGAAAAGAAAGGGCCAGATGACCTGTAGATGGGATGGCCTTCCACGTGGTCACCAATCTGGGGAATGTGGTGGACCGTAAATAGAAAGCCCAGAACTTTTGTGTTTCAGACAGTTGTGTACCTTTTCAAGTATGGGAGAGAGTAGCTTCCAACGAAAGGAATAATGTGCTAGATCACTCTAAAGGGCAGCATCCAGCAGTGTTCGGGAGAGAATCCAGTGGAGGCCATGAGGGTAGGAGGGCCTCCCAGTCAGCAAGCTAGCTTCCAGAAATATACTCAGGGAAGATACCAAAATTACTTTATTCCCCAAATGCACAGCCTTTGATCATCCAGTGGTTCTAGTACAGTGGTTCCCCAACCCTAAATCCCTTGGTGTTCTAGGACTACAACTCCCAGAAGCCTTCAGCACTAGCATAGGAATTTTGGATTATTTCCTTCACTACAATTCCCCAGGAATTCCCTATCTGGAATTTTGGAAGTGTAGCCAAAAAGTTCCAAGTCCTCACATGAGCTTCAGAACACATACCTGAGGCCCAGTATATTCTTCTCTACAGCCATTTCAAAGGGAGGGAATGGGTGGGACTTATTGAGCTCTATGGGAACAACAAGGAGTTTTGGTGTTGGTAGTTTTTTGAAAACCACAGTGTGCAGAGAGACTACCAGTCCAACAACCCCTTGTAGGTCCCACAGAGCATAGAAAGTCCAAACCATTCGCTCCCTTTGCAATGGCTGCAGAGAAGAACATGCTAGGCCTCAAGTGGGTGTATTGAAAGTCCTCAGAGGAATTGGGTTTTTTGCCTACGGCTGCCAGAATTAGGAATTTAAGAACCTTGTAATGAGGGTGAAAGAGGAGAGTGCAAAAAATGGTCTGAAGCTCAACATCAAAAAAACTAAGATCATGGTCAGTGGTCCCATCACCTCCTGGCAAATAGAAGGGGAAGATATGGAGGCAGTGACAGATTTTATTTTCTTGGGCTCCATGATCACTGCAGACGGAGACAGCAGTCACGAAATTAAAAGACGCCTGCTTCTTGGGAGGAAAATGATGACAAACCTCCACAGCATCTTAAAAAGCAGAGACATCACCTTGCTGACAAAGGCCCGCATAATCAAAGCTATGGTTTTTCCAGTAGCGATGTATGGAAGGGAGAGCTGGACCATAAAGAAGGCTGAACGCTGAAGAATGGATGCTTTTGAATTGTGGTGCTGGAAGAGACTTTTGAGAGTCCCCTGGACTTCAAGGAGAACAAACCTGTCAGTTCTGAAGGAAATCAACCCTGAGTGCTCACTGGAAGGACAGATCCTGAAGCTGAGCCTCCATTAGTTTGGCCATCTCATGAGGAGAGAAGACCCCCCTGGAAAAGACCCTGATATTGGGAAAGTGTGAAGGCAAGAGGAGAAGGGGACGACAGAGGACGAGATGGTTGGACAGTGTCATCGAAGCGACCAACATGAATTTGACCCAACTCCGGGAGGCAGTGGAAGACAGGAGGGCCTGGCGTGCTCTGGTCCATGGGGTCACGAAGAGTCGGACACGACTTAACGACTAAACAACAACAAGCCAGAATCCTGGTTGAGAAGATTCCTGGTGATTCGTCCTAGGGGGGAAAAAATCAGAAATCCCACCCCTGGAGGCCACCACTTTGAAGTGCTACTCTTCCACTTCCAGACACTTCTTCATGTGTCCTCCTCACTGCTTAGTCAAAGTTCTGCTTCCTGGTAGCCGCTGTCTTTTGGTCCTCATTCTGCCTGCTGGAACAATGCTTTCATGTCTTCAAGCTCAGCCTGCTGCTCAGCTCTTCCAAACGTCCCTCATAGTTCCCTAGAGTTTCCCTAACACTCTTCTCAGGACAGGATCCAGAGTCTTCAAGCTCAGCCTGCTGCTGAACTCTTCCAAACTTCCCTCATAGTTCCCCTAACACTCTTCTCAGGACAGGATCCAGATTCTCAACATCCTTCAGAAACTGCTGTTTCATTTCAGCGCTACGTCTCAGGAGCGCATCTCAGACTGGTCTTACTTTGATCTGCTTTGATAACATGTTGTCTATTATTCCTGCAGACCTAATCACCCGGTTTTAGATCCATCTAAGCTTCGGTAACTCTTGCCGCTAAATTACGAGCAGCGTGGTTCTGTAAAATGACGCTTGAGGACTTTTCTCTGGCGAGATGTGCACAAAGCTTCCAAAGGGACTTTTTGCCCTGTCATGTTAATCTCTCTGAGCCCAAGGATTACTGATCTAATAACCAGTGACACCTCTTCAATGCCATTGAAGCTTCCTGTGCTAATCTAGCTGTCACATGGGCACGCAAAGGTGTTCAGCCTGCCAGCCTTGGGAGTCTGCAATTGCCCTTAGCATGAAGGGACCATCTAAGGTGAAGTTCTATCCTGGATGTGGCTCTATTCTTCAGACTTTGCATCCTTTCTGGATGGCATCTCCTGATCTGGGGTGGACTCCAGAAATTATCATTAACTCTTTCCAGCTCTGCTTCACATTGACTATGACTCAACTGAGGTTTGAGGCTACAACTCCCATCAGTCTCTGCCAACATTGTCAATGGTCAGGGATAATGGGACCTGTAATTAAAACAATTAGCTACCAACAGGTTGCCTAGTTCTGGATTCAGAGTTTCCTCCCCACACCATCAGGGCTACGCTGAGGGTATCCGTAAAAGGAGAACCAAAATCCAGCCCCGATGCTGGTTTTTGATTCAGGACAGATTTTGATTAGCCTTTCCCTAATTCCAAGTCTGAGAGAGAGCAGTTCCGACTCCACTTTGTGTCCAAAAGAGAGAAAGAAAAGCGCCAGACAAATATGTCTTGGGAAGAACTTTCAGGGCTAGGACATGCCAACAGTGGAGGTTGGTGGCTTTGATGTCAATGTGGGTAGCAAGCAGTGAATCTGCGTTAGGTTTTTAGTCCAGACTCTACAGTCTATCAGAGGTGCTGAATTATGTATTTCTAGCACAGTTGAAAAGATAACATGCCCAAGTTCTCCTGGATTTTATATATGCTTTGGAACTATCCATGGTGCTGATTCTTATTTTTCCCCCTTAATGTCTTGGGACAACCATGCTTTGGAGCTATCCATGGTGCTGGTTCTTGGGAGCCACCACAAAAAAGGCACTCTTTAAGGCAATCTAATGCTAGAAGATTGGAGTCCCTGGAGAAGGAACTCTGTGAAAGATCCTAACATACAGCAATAGTACCCAACCTTGGGTACCAAGGTGTTCTTGAACTACAGCTCCCAGAAATCGTAGCCAGCACAGCTAGTGGTGAAGGCTTCTGGGAGCTGTAGTCCAATGACATATAGGGAGCCAAGGTGGGGAATGATGGACACATAGGAAGAAACAGGGAACCTCCTGCAGCTGAGGTCCAAATCCTATTTCAGAAAAGCTCTCAACATCCATGTTCCAGATAGGAGAAGTCAAGGCAGAATGATTGTGATTACAAGGCCAGAGCAGTTCAGCTTAGAGATGTTATTACCAGTAACCCAAGCCTTAAGAAAGTTATCTCAACCTTTTGCATAAAAAGGTAAAGGTAAAGGTTCCCCTTGACAATTTGTCCAGTCCTGTCCAACTCTAGGTAGCACTGCTCTTCTCCGTTTCCAACCCAAAGAGCCAGCGTTTGTCCACAGACAATCCTCCGTGGTCATGTGGCCAGCGTGACTAGACATGGAATGCCGTTACCTTCCCACCGATGTGGTACCTATTTATCTACCCACATTTTTACATTTTGCATGCTTTCAAACCGCTTGGTTGGCAGGAGCTGGGACAAATGATGGGAGCTCACTCCGTCACGTGGATTAGATCTTACAACTGTAGGTCTTCTGACCTTGCAGCACAGAGGCTTCTGTGGTTTAACCTGCAGCGCCACCACGGCCCTTTTACATAGAGGAAAACAAAGTGTGCTAAAGCTGGAAAACTGTCAACTGATGCTATCACGAGGCAGGGGATATAGTCATGTAGAAGACCTCGGAGGGCCAGATTCAGCGGTAGGGCATGAGGTTGCTGACCCAACAGTTTACAAGTCAGTTCCTGGGGGGGGGGGAGAAAATGGGACACGAGCACCAGGATGAATAGATCTAGCTGCTCTTTTAGCCGGTGTCCATTTCCACTGATGTGCCTGTAAGAATAATGCACAGACTTTTTGGCTACACATTTGCCGTTATCTTTATTGCACTGGGACCACATTGCAAACAAATCCACTGAAAGAAAAGAAAAGAAAAAGGCTGCAAAAGTAACTCTAGTGCTGCCTAAAGCATTTTTCTTTTTTTAAATCCTCAATTAGTTTTTAAAACTCAGATATGTATATATTTACATGGAAATTATCAAAAGCAAAAGTTGGGGAAAGCAGCACCCCTGCTACGAGTCTAGAAAGATAAGAACTGCTGCTTTCTTATGGATAAATATTACAATTTGTCTTCTTTTTTTACATCACTTTGCAAAATCACATTCAAGTATTCCTGTCAATGCGCGCGCATGATCGAAGATTCTCTTCTAGTGTACGGTGACTTGGCTTGCAGCTGGATGGGTCACAGTTGTTGAATGATGTTATAGTTGGGTCCCTTTTTTTGGCTTTGACAACAGTTTAAGATGTCCACGTCCTTCGGGATGTGCATAGGAGGAGGAAGGGGGCGATTTAAATAAGGTATAGAGAAAGAAAGAACCTAGAAGGTCAATCGAAAGATCAGAGGTTGACATGCGCATTGAGAAAAATAAGGGTTGTACAGCCCTCACCAAGTTGTACCGTTTCAAGATAAAAACAGGTTAGAGCTTCTTCTCCATCACAATTCCTTTAGATCACAAACTCCAGGTCTCTTGAAAAGCACCATCTTAGGAAGAATAACGATAGGCTAATCCCCTCAATATGTTCATTTTCTTTGCACCCATTGTTTTGCATTATGGAAAATTGATATAAGTTTGATCCCTCCACTCTGAACCTGCATTGAGAGTCCCAGAAAGATCTCAACAGTGTAGACTAGATCTATACGGGCTTCCCTTAGGATACTCTTGAAGCTGGTTCGTCTCCTTTGAACAATTTGGTAGGTAGATTTGCATTTTGAACAAACGTATAACAACCTTCTATATAAATACAAAATATTAAATAAAAGATCTGGTTTCTGTACAAATGAAAGAAGAAAGGACATATATTCATCACTGATCGCTATAATTTTTTCAAATCCTATCGGGGAACTTATTATTGTTATTATTATTTTAAAATGTGGCAAGATGCACATTTCTTTCTTCCAGTTGCTTTATCCAAAGACGGACAGCTCCTTTGTCACTCTGTTATCTATTTCAGTTTCTGGCAAGCCATTGACAGTGTTGGCCTGGTCAACTCCACCCACCATGTGTGCGTTGAGAAAATGAAGGGCTTGGTGAGGAACTCCATCAGGGCAGGAAACTATGCTAACACCGCGCAGGGAAGGGCTTTCCAGAAGCTCCGCTCGCAATGTGTCATCCGAAGCCATCCTTGGCAATGGGGAGAAATAATTTAGAGCTTAAAGGAAGCAGGACGGTGTGAAGAGGGCAACGTTGGGGGGGGCGCATATCCACCAAAACTACGAGGACTCCCCAAGGACCAGTCAAGTTGGTTTCACTGGCTACATGAGCCCCCAGGATGCCCATCCTCAATCTAAACTCTTCTCTGAGCCTACGCCTTAGCTACTTGGAGAACAATTATAATTGCAATGTCTGAATTCACTGAATTCATGAAGTGGCATACAGTCCCTTGCAAGACTGTTTCTCTTTGCTTGTTGGTCTTTCTTGCTTCGTTGGCGGAACTAATAAAAAGAGGGTCCGGCGATTTCACTACCTTTTGGTCATCATAGTGTTCATGTCAGAAACAAGGTCATTTTCAACCACGTTACTGTAACCGTCTTTTTCGATGCAGTCATTGACGGCCTTGAGGACTATCCTCAGCCTCCGATCCATAGCTTCAAGGTGCAACTTGTACAAGATGGGAGCAATTTTATCTGTCTGCAAAGACTCTTCCATCAGATGGCTAAGTTTGTACTCTTCCTTGGCCAGAAGCTGTAATCGCAGATAGGTAGATTTCCGTATTCTAGGGGGAAAGAAGACATTTATGCATTTTTCAAGCCTGTAGTTCGGCAGCCTGGCTCCCACTCTCAATGTCCCTCCCACCACGTCCATCAGAGGCTGATAGCTTTTGAAAGAGCATGCCAATGGGGAAGCATAAATCGTTTTTGCTTCAACTGCATGTCCAACTGCACAAATACCCAATCTTTGTTCTAGAGAAGGGTCTAATGAACCAACACCCCATTGCTTGTTCTGCTTGTTTCCAGTGGTTGACAGAAAATTGTGAAAAACTGGACAAAAGCTATCTCGATTGAGAAGAAATTCCTAAGGCTCTCTTCAGCCAAGATCTACCATGAAGATTTGTTCCCTCTCTCTCTGACTGCAGCCAGGCTTCTTCTTCCTGTTTCTGGACCTTTGGACCTCAAGTAAAGTTTATCCTTCCTCACCTACCCCCATGGTTGGCCTGTGTAGCCGACATGTAATTGGGGAAATGTAACTTCTCTGCCTGGAGGGAATATGCCAGCAAATACCAACTGGTGGGATGCAGAACTGTGGAAGAACTACTGCTTTCAGAACCAGGTTGCCGATTTCCTGGAGACATCGGTTTAGTTGGAACGAAATCGGAGGGCGGGAGAAATGGATGGTTGATCTAATCCAACGGAGCTATTTTGACCTTCCTCGCTGAACCCCATTCCTGCTCTTTGGCTCATTCTGTGCAAGCTGCTTTTAATTAAAAATCAAATATCAGTCCTCTATTTGTTCTGGGAGCTGGAACATTCTGAGTCAAAAGTACATTTTGTGCACTCGGAAAGAAGCAAGTAAGGCGAGCTATCAAAAGGCTGCTTCATTGTTTGCGAGCCGGAAACCCCGTGGTTTCCAGCTACAAGTTCAACAACGGGGAACACACCACAGAAGGTGAGTGAGGAAAAGAGCAAAGGGTGAATCTGGCTTAAAGCCAAGAGATCTCCAACTCCACCGGCTTTGCGCCCGCTGCTACGAGGCAAACAGTGGGGCGGAGAGAGAGAGAACACTCCCGCCTTCAGGTTCTGTTTATATAACACCCAGCCCAGCCGTCTCTTCTAGGTGCCTTAAGCCCGATCCTCAAAAACATTCACAGCGCACGACTCCCTCCCTTCTTCTGTGTCTCAACAGTCTAACAAGGCTTACCTGCAGCATTGGTTCAAAGGCACCAAGATAGACAGTTCGTCGTGGGAGTATTTTCCGAACCTGGAGACGAAAAGAAGGAAAGATCACCAAGGATGTACCTTAATGCTCAGGGACATGCTCCAGTTCTGCTCAACAAATAGCTTGGATTCCACCAGTTTGGAAAAAAAATATGTGAGCTAATCTGTCTGGACTGGATGCCTCTGCCATTCACTCTTAATTCTAACCTTTCCCACTCATGCCTTGGTGATGGGTGGTATTTATATGGCGTCAGTATTGGAGATCCATCTTTCCAAACTATCTTGTTCATGCAGCATCACTGCAGAGGTGGAAGGGATCTCAAAGGTCATCTAATTCCACAGAATTCAGTTTACAAGAGCTGTTGAGGATGGGGCATTCTGTAGATCACCCATTCATCGGGTCACCAAGAGCTGGAGGCGACATAACAACAACAACAAAGTCCAGAAACAAGCATGGGCAATCAAAACTCTCTTCTGATGTTTTTTTAGGCTGCAACTCAAAGAGCAGTCCTGGACAAGCATAGTCAACGGCGAAGACTGTTGGATGTTTCACAGTCCAAGAACAACAGGAGGGTCATCAGTTACCCACCCATCTCTTACAGGGGTCAAATGACACCTGATGGGAAAGGGTGAACCTGTGGGTGGGCCAAACTACGCCTACACTAATCACCTGTACCATGAGATGATCTCCAGATGCAAGTTCAGATCTGCATTTGAGTTACTGTAGATTAGGGCTTGTGAAAGGGGAAGAGAGCTGTTTGGTTCAAAAGAAAACCTTACCGATCTAAAGGAAATCACCTAGCCATCTATGGGTAGATCCTTATCTACCTTCTGCCCATTCCCGTTACAGTACTAATTGGCGTCAGGGAAAGGAATTCTTCCTGGAGCCGCAGAACAAGGGTGGGCAATGCATAATCCTCCAGCTGCTGCTGGACCCTACATCCCATCAGCTATCACATATGTCCATGTTTGCCTAGGGCTCATGGAAACTGCAACTCAACAACTTCTAGAGCAGTGGTTCTCAACTCTGGGTCCCCAGATGTTCCTGGACTACAATTCCCAGAAATCCCGGCCAGGATTTGTGGAAGGTGTAGTCCAGGAACATCTAGGGACCCGGGGCTGGGAAAAACTGCTCTAGAGTGATAAACGTTGCGCAACCTTATCTTATGATGGACCCAAGGGCTGACTCCATCAAAGGCAACTTCCCAGATTCATAACATTTCAAAATACAAAATTACCATTTGACCATGTTCTTTAACCACCAAATTGTTTCTCCTAAGGGCTTTTCATCGAGAGAGTCATTTCAGATCTTGTGGAGCAGATCGAGGAAAAGAAAACTCTAAAAATTATCCTACTTACATCATTAGTCCTTTAGGACTTGAAAGAGTCTTTCATGACTGATTTTTAATGATATTATTTGTCCACAATATATATTGCCCTGATTTGGGATTTTTCTTAGGGGGTCATTTGTCACAAAAGTTCACTCTCTCCGGTAAAAAGAGGGTAGCAATTACACCACGAGATAAGGCTGAGATGTTACTCAAGTAACTTCTAACCCCCCTGCCCCGAGAAGACTTACCCTCTTCCATTGTCCAAGTGAATAATAAATGTTTCATTTCCGAACTTCTCGAAAGTTTCGTAGTGATGCCGATCCATGTTGCCTAACAAGGTTGGGAAAAAGGAAGAAAATACATTCTGAATTTTTTACTTTGGAAGAACTTAAATGTTTTCACTCAGCTATACGTTTGCATCCTGAACATGTAAGAGCAAAGCAAAAGAAAGCTAAATGATCTTGTTCTTCTAAGGGAGCATGCTAAACTATGGAGTCCTGTGTATTCGCGAAGGCTTTCACGGCCGGGATCTAATGGTTGTTGTGGGTTTTTTGGGCTCTTTGGCCATATTCTGAAGGTTGTTCTTCCTGACGTTTCTCCAGTCTCTGTGGCCGGCATCTTCAGAGGACTGGAGTAGGAACTCTGTCCATGCTCTGATGGTGTTTTAAAGGGAGCTAGTCTGGATTCACCATGCTTGCATGAGCGATGAGGGTGAATCTCACTTGACCTGCACGTTTTGAAGAAAGTGAACTCGTTCAATATGTTCTGGATTAATAATCTTGGGTTCCCTGGCAGAAGTTGGTGGAGTTCAACTATCATCACACCCCTGATCACTGGGCAGGCAGGTTGGGGATGATGGAAGTTGTAAGTCCAGAAGCATCTGAGGATGCTGAGATTGTGAGGAGAGCTTAATTACAAAGATGGCAATGGTTTCCTTTTGCCAATGAGCTTTGGAAAGGCATGATTCTTTCTTCTGAGACCAAATTAATTAATTAATTAATTAATTAATTTTAATTAATTAAAAATGTCTTGTAAGAAAGTTTTGTGGATGGGCCCTGTTTGGATCCTGAAGATAAATCCAACTCAACTTTACCTCCCTATCTTGGGGTGACAAATTGGGTTAGAGTGGGATTGGTTTATTAATACTTTACTAAATATTTATTTATTTACTAAACTCAACTTTACTTCCCTATCTTGGGGTGTCACATTGGGTTAGAGTGGGATTGGTTTATTAATTTTATATAGAAGGATTGTTTCTGCACATGGAACCCATTCATCCTGTGAGCACCACCTACAGCCTACTACAGGAAGAGTCAGACATTGATTTCACCCACTTTTTCTTTCCGTACTTCCATGGCGAACAACTATCTCAAACTACGACTGCAAGATTTTTCCCTTGTGGAAAAAAAAAACAATCAGGAAAACTTGATATCCTTAAATTTTGCACATAAAGATGCAGCTGATGGGGCCATGGCCACTAGAAGTACAGTCGCTCGGCCAGAGATGATATTTTTTGGATTTCTTGGTCTACAAATCCCATATTTCCCCCTCCTGGGAGGTCTACTTGACTTACAGACACCTAACTGTGACTCGCCTAGGAGAAAACACCTCAGTGGGATGGCTTTGAGCTGAGCTAGGCCTAGCTCTGCCCAAACTTCTTGTTCCTGCCCCAGTGCTAGCAGGGAGTTTTCTTTCAAAAAAGGAAGCTAGGCAGAGCTAGGCCTAGCTATGTCTTGAAGGCTTCCAAATTCAGGCCTTGTCTCCTTTTTCTAAGGCATGTAAAAGTCAGGTAGATCTCCCAGAATCAGGAATTGTGGAATTTGTAGTCTACAAAATCGCCTCCCAATACTCTATCTCTTGGTCAGCAGATCTGCCTGTAATTTCCAGTGATGAGAAACCTACCCATGAGAAAGTCAAAAATGGTCATGTCCATTATATCCAAAATTCGGGTCCCTCTGTCATAGGGTGGCGTTTGTTTAACTTCTTCACAGTAGTCCGGATCAACTTCCCACCTGAGGGGAATAAAACCCAACAACATTTGGGAATGTTATGTGCATGAGTGTACCAATTTTATCTTCTCACTTTTAATATCAGTGAGACATTATTTGCCTTTGAGTGTGAGGTTAAGGAGAACTCTTCAAGGGTATCAGACAGATGTACCAATGGATGTACAGTACAGTGGTGCCTCGCATAGCGAGGTTAATCCATTCCGGATTAATCTTCGCTATAGCGAAACATCGCTGTGCGGGAATAAAAAAGCCATAGAAACGCATTGAACTTTGTTCAATGCGTTCCTATGGCTTGAAAACTCACCGC